ACCGTGAATAAGCACCCATGAGGCATGCTGCAGTGTGGACAGGTATTTTTTAATTTTAAAAAAATCATATCCCTCTTTCCAATAATTACTCTAAAGAGGAGACCAAGCTCGAGGGCTTGAGCAGTCATCACAAGCAACACGGTTACTGCGCCCCAAGAGCAGCCAGCCCCACTCCCGCCGTCCGGAACGGGGCCTTGGGGACAGCGAAGGGAAGCAAGAGCCACGGGCGGCCCGCGCCGCGCTCCTCCAGCCGCGGGGACGAGGACGGCACGCTGGAAACCGCAGCCTCCAAGCGGGAGCCTTCCCGAGCGCCGCACGGCCCCGCAGGGACACGGGGCTCCGCAGGGCCCACTGAGCACAAGCGGCGGCCACTTCTGCACCTGGACGTTGCCCAGGAGCAACAGCAGCGACCGCAATTTAGGGTTACAATACTAAGAACACACCACTTACAAAAATATAAATAACCTATCACAATCCTAGAAGAAAAATAACAGCCACTGTAAAAAATACAGTGTATGCCGTGAGTAAACCATGGCTATATTTTTTTTTGTTTTATTTTTCAAGAAAAGCACCAGGATCTGTATTGTTAAGTGATCTAAAACACAGAGAGCTTTTCCTCAATACCTGCAGAGTCTTCTGAGAAGTTCAGTGCGCCCAGGCCATTAAAACTGAGTTTTCCTCAATTCCAGCTGCTTGTGCAACAGTGAATGGAACTTCTCTGAGCATCCTGCTCAGGAACAGCAGCTCAAGGATGCACTTGTTCATCTCAGCAGGACTTAAGCATTTGCCTATTGTTAGGAGCATGCTTAAAAGCTTTTCAGAAAAGGACTGAATCTAAACTTGTATTATACCACATAATTTATTCCCTAAACTAGACAACATTGGTAACAAAACCGTCACCTGTAAAAGCACAAGAGTGTTTCCCTTGCTCATTCCCCGCGGGGGGCTGCACAGGCACTGGATCATCTCACTCCTCTCAGCTCTTTTGAGCGGTGCCTGCTCGGCCCAAACACTTTTCCCGAAGCCAAAACAAAGTTCAGCCCTATGGGAGTTTCCTTCCTTACACTCCATGCACCATGCTGAAAAACTATGAAAAAGGAAAATTAAGAGTCAAGTATAAATTCAACTGGTTCCCAGCTAAATAAATTCAAGTTCCCCTGCCCCGGGACTGACAGCTTTTCTGTGTCCAACCTGCGCTGCAGGGTCTGCACCGGGCCCAGGCGTCCGTTGGTGGGGACCTAAAAGCCAAGGCCACCTCATGAAACGCCGGCCCTTGTGAACGTGGCCGGGGAGGCAGCCTGGCAGGGCAGGGACAGCGCGTGCCGCGGGGCAGCTTCATATCCAGCGGATGCATGAGGCAGCCTGCAGCTCCGCACGGACAGGACCGGCCTCCCTGGCTGAGCCTGCGCCTCCAGCTGCCCGGGCCCCAGACAGAGAAAGGGAGGTAGAAAACACTTGAACCTGGCTGAAAACCTCCCTGCCCGGTGCTGCCTGCGAAGCTCCCGGCCCAGGCGCATCCGCACGGACTGACCCCGCACAGCAGCATCTCCACCTCCAGGCAGGGCCTCTCCAAGGAAAACTAACATTGCTCAGACACCAAACAGCTGAAAAACAATACTTTAAATTAAAAACTATAACGGGAATGGGGTTGATTTCTCTAAAGGAAGAAAAAAAAAATCCTTTTCATTTCCAGAGTCCATCCATCAACCCAACTGTTCACCAAGCTCCGGAGTATGAACAAAACTGAACCGTGTTCCAAGGGCCGGTGTCTGCCTGCAGGAGCGGGAGGTGTCCTCGGCGCGCTCCCGCACACCCTCCTGCTGCCGCCAGCTCCCACCTTCCTGTGGTTTTGCCGTGGGGAAGCAGCAGGCGGAGGGCAGGGAGCTGCTGTGCAGGGCTTGAGCCGGGGCAGTTGGAGGCGACTTTGAACCTGCCTCCAGTGGCGCCTGGGACACACGTGCAAAGGGACAGGCCGGAAAATTCACCTGGCTGGCTTCGAGTTCAAAGCCCAGCTGATTAGATAAACTGCAGGAACTCTCTTGCTCAGAGCTGAATGCCTGCATTGAATTTATCTTAATTCCTGTTGGAAGCGAATAAACATGCCCACAGAGAGTTTATATATTTAATTGATTTAGCTACATTACTAATTGAAACAATCCCTCCCTGCCACAAACAAACCGCACAGCAAACCATCGAACCCGCCTGCTTTCGCTCTGTGAATTCTTCCACAACCGCCGTGACGGGCCAAGCGCGGAGCAAGAGCTGAGAAGCCCCAGCCGAGGCGGGCCAGGCTTCTGCTCCCTGCAAAGTGGAGACTCCTCGGCTTCGAGATGGCCGCACAGGGAAGCGCCTCCTGGCAGCGCCCAGGCTGCTCGAGCGGCGGATGTGGCCGCCTGCTCCAGGACGCCCCCGGGCTGCCCCGCGGGGACCCCGGCCACGGTGTCGCCTCCCGGGACGAGCGCAGCTGCGGCGCAACAGGAATCCCCGGCGGCTGC